TTTTTTTTTTTTTTTTTTTTTTTTTTTTTTTTGGTACCAGGGATTGAACACAGGCACTTGCAGCACCACTGAGCTAAATCCTCAGCCCTGAAGTGAAGATTAAATAATAAACATGAAAGCAAATATGTGAGATGTGTAAAAAGGATATATTTCTACTACAGTGTTTGTTGAATGAATCAAGTATAAGACAGGCTTTGTGACAATGCCTGTTACACAATGTGACCCTTAGCAGCAGCCAAAAGCAGTGACAAGGCAGAAGCAGCACCACGGTAATGGGGGAGACACCTGTGCTTCGTGTGAGGAGAGAGCACCATAGCTCTCCCTGGACCACAAGTCGAAGGTCATAGTTGCTATGGACCCATCTGGCTTGGATACAGAGATCGAGGCTCTGAAATTCCCAGCTTCCCTGCACAGGACGGGGCTCCTACCTGCAGGAAGGTCAGTGCTGCTCTCTGTAGCAGGCACTCTGCATAGCAGACCTCAGCGTGGATTTCCTCTGCAAGAAGAAACCAAAGCTCTGTAGCCTCCTTGACTCTTGGGACCAATTCTCCATCCCCCACATCTCCAAAAGCAAAGGGAGCTTGTGCCAACACTACCCCATTACCCTGTCCACATTAGCTCACACGTCTCCTCCAATCTTCCATCTGGCTCGCACACCCTCATGCCCAGAGCGTTGGTGCAGCCCTGTTCCCTTCCTCAAGCATCATGCTCATGGAACCACCAGATGCACTGTGAGCTGGGGCATCTTCCAGGGCTCTCAGTGTGAATTAGGCCTTTGCCCTGTGCTGAAGGGCCACACGGTGCTCATGGTTGGCTATGGCCACACACGAGCATGGTATGAAGATGCCATTTGGGTTATAATGGACCAGACCTTCTTTATGCGGCTGCTGTAAGCTACCTCATTCCAGTGTGTCACCTTCTCAAACCACAGTCCCCTTCGGGGCACACGAGACCATTAGGACAAGTGGGACAGCACACCTAACCTCACACTCCATTCTAAGCACTTTCTGGACCAAAGAGCAAAGCCACAGTCCGGTGACAGCTTTTCCTCTCCTTGGCTTCAGGTTCCTGGCCTATAATGCTGTCAGGTGGGTGGGTTTCACGGTCCTCAATACCCTTACTGAGGGCCACTCCTCAAAAGGCCCCCAGCCTATCTTACCTGTGTCCTTGTGCTAAGGCCAAGGCCCAGAACTGGGTGACAACTGGGAGAGTAACTGTCCCTTCCTGTCCCCCCTTGGCCTACAGCCAGGCCAGCTGTCTTAGTGTGCCTGAGGGGCACCCCAGATGCCCACCTTCCGTGAACTGGTCCAGAGTGGGGCGGTGCACCAGGTTGCTGAAGGAGTCTGTCACCGAAGACTTCCTCCGGTACCTGGAGTGGGAAAGGGGCCGCAGGTCATTTGGTGAGGATGAGAGGATCCCACTCGCCTCTGCCACACATACTACAGTCCAGGAGACACCCAGAGGGGCAGCACTGGCAGACAGAACACGAGCTTTGGGTTCAGAAAGAGAAGTTTTAAAATTCCTGCAAAAAATGCCACCTTGCCTCTCTGAGCCTCACGTCCTCATTGGTAAACAGAGACACCTGTATCCATCACCAGCTAAGGACCTAAGGCAGCCCCACAGCCAGCCCCTCCTGGTCTGATGGGTGCTTTTCTTGGTAGCCTCCAGCTTGTCTTACCTTTGGCTCCCTCTCCTTCCTTTAGCCTTCTCCTGTAGACTTCTTCTCCTTTAGACTTCTCCTGTCAGCCAGGACTTGGTGCCTGTTCACCTGTGCCTGTCAGCTTGGGGTTTCTAGAAGGCTCTTCCTTGCTCAGAGTCTCTCAGCACTGCTCTGCCATGAGGATGAAGTCTGTGCTTCTGCTGCAGCTTCTAAGCCACATGGGCCCTCCCACAGGACCCTCTGGATCCTGGACTCCTGGCAGCTCCCCAGACTCCAAAGTTTCTCAACCCTTTGCCCTTGCTGTTGCCTCTGTCCAGAGTCCCCTTCCTCCTCCCCTCTGCCCTGACCAGTGCCTGGTCACCGTTCACATCGCTGCACCTGGGCTGGACCCCACACACCCCCGAGCATCCCTACATCATACTGAGATATCACTGTCTACAGCTGTGTCCCCACCAGGTGCCACACAGGTCTGATGCTCTCCTGGGTGGCCAGGGCCTGGCCTGTAGCAGGTGTGAACACCTGCCCGTGGGTGAACACTCAGGGGCTCTTAGCCCATTCATTCAAACAGTGAATGTGGCACAGCAAGTCCTGAGTCAGGGGCTGTCCTGCAGCCCCCAGGACAACTCACTCATTTTACAGAAGAAGTCACAGACTCATGAAACAGGGACAGAATTCATTAGCTGGTCCCTAGAAATTGCTCTGTGACCATCTCAGACAAGATACTGAGGCAGAGCTTCAAGCACTGAGGGACACAACATTTAAGACAAAAGCAGGAGCACTGACAGTGGCATTTCAGGTACTCAGAGAGGCCGGGGTGACAGCAGGGTGGGCCTCACAGCTCTGACCTCTGACACAGTGACTGAGCTTCCTTCATCATGTTGCCTGCAAGCAGGATGTCCTGGGGGTCAAAGGTCATCATGGCCTGCATCTCGAGGATGGTGGCGTACGTCAGTGAGTGGTACATGCTCTCCTTGGTTCTGCAAGAGAGAGGGGACACTGAAACTACCACTTCTCAGGTGGCAGAGGTGCTAGGGCAGTCAGCCCTGGCATGGCAGCCTCGGAGCTGCTGTCCCTCCCAGTTCTGCCTGGGGGAGATGGGTCCACTGCGAGCAAGGGACTTGTTCAAGATCTGACCCTTTCACTGCTACTCAAAAGACCTTGATCAGGTTCCCAGATCCTCTCCTTCCCGCTGAATGGCCCTAACTGACCTTCTAAACCCGAGCCTCAGCTCCTCCTATGTCTGAGAAGGCTGGCAGCAGAGGTGCCCTGAGCCTAACAAAGGCTGCCCTTCCCACACCTGCCCAGGGCCTGCCTCTCACCTTCTGCCCACCTCCAACAGGCCAATCTTGCTGTCCCCAAGCCCCGTCCCTGGGCTAACTCACATCCACACCTCTTGGCCCTCCTTGCTGGCCCTCTGCTGCCCCTGTCCATCCAATCATCTAACCCTGTAGCCTCTGCTTGAACCTTACAGGCTCCAAATCATGCCAGCCCACCTTACGCTCCTGCCCTTTTTTTTTTTTTTTTTTTTTTTTTTTTTTTTTTTTTTTTTTTTTTTTTTTTTTTGTACTGGAGATTGAAACGAGGGCTGTTGCCCTGTGCTACATCCTCACTCTTTTTTATTTTTTATTTTAAAAAATAAAGTTGCTCATTAAGTTGCTCAGGCTAGGCTCAAACTTGCAGTCCTCCTGCCTCAGCCTCCTAGAGTACTGGCTCCTCTCCAGCCTCTGCCCCTGCCCTCTATGATCTGGTCACACTCAAGACTATACTATACCCCTGATCTCACTGACCCATAGACTTTTCCAAGAAACCCCATACTTGCCTTCTCTGGACCTTTGCCGCGGCTGTTCCCTTAGCCCGAGACACCCTTCCCTGGCTTCCATATCTCCCAAATCATCCATCAGGCCCCCAAGTGAGCTCCTTCTCAGGGACCTGTCTGCAACCAGGCACAGCCCATGCTGAGCTGACATCAGCCCCAGCTCATCTCTCTCCTCAGACTGTGAGAGCATTGAGAAAGGAGCCTGGCCTGACTCATCCCTGTACTCAGCACAAAGCCACAGCCTCAGGAAGCCTCCTGCTCCTCCTCAGCTCCAGGCTTGAGGGGGGATTGGTGGGTGCAGGGTGGTGCTCCGCAGAATAAACGGAGGTCCAGTGCCAGTTCCTGTGTGTACACAGGGAGTCCCTTGACAACATGGGCTTTGGGACTGCTTCTGTGCCACTGAAGATGCTGGAGAGACCTTGGGGAGGGAGCGGCTTCCTGCACAGTAGATGATGGGCAGTTTCGATCCCTTCCCCATGAGCCCTTGTCAATTATTTACGAAGCTTCTCAGTGCCATCGCTGGGAACTTGAAAGAGAGGTGACTAATATTTATAGAGGGTTTTATGTGAGAGACCATGTGACTTTAACCAGCTTCCTTCTTGATCATAAAACACCTGTGACTGAGTTGCCTTTTGCTTCTGGGTACCCTCAGCGGTGGGTGTCTAAGAGTCAGAGATTTCCGAAGGGAGAAGAGGCTGGCAGACCCCTGGCCTGGCCTGCCAGCTCTCAGGACAGCCCTAGGCCCGCTGCAGGAAAGCTTCCCCTGAGGTCAGCAGCTGCCTGCAGGGGACGGGGGCTGACCTTGGACTCAGAGTCCCTCAGCCACAGGCCAGAAGCTCAGCTGTGCTGGCCACCAGCTGTGTGACCTCAGTAAGTCTCACAGCTACTCTGAGCCTCAACTTCATCCTTTATCAAATGAGTACAGTAACCCTCCTGTCCCAGGACTTTTTCAGTAGTTTAAATAAGACACCCGTGCCAGCAGCCACACTCAGTAAATGCTAATTCTTCCACATCTTGCCAGGGTCAAGAGTCAATCCCAGCAGAAAACCCTTCTTTGTGAGGAGGGGTTCCCTGGCAGCACAGAACCCACTTCCACAAGCTCCCCCACACCCTCCCTCAGGTCAGCTCTCAAGCCGTCACCTCTCTTCCCCTCCCTCAGCAGGTTGGGCCCAGGAAGAGGAAGGGCTCCACCCAGGCAGCTGGCAGACAAAGTGGAATTTCCAGTCCAGCCTGAAGCCCAGCAGGAACACAGGCCCCTCCCCAGCCTCTCAGCTGGAAGCCACCCAGCTCTGGTCTGGACTGGAAGATGGGGTTCCTGGGTCTGACAGCCTCCCGGCCTCAGCCACACCATGTCTAGTGTGTACCCTGCAGATTGCCTTGCAACCCCACACCCTTGAGCTGTATCTACCTCTGCAACCTGATGCGCACTAGGGTCTCACCTTCTGGGACCCAGACCAGCTGTCAGGACGGGGAGGACACAGGAAGAGCAGAGTGTGGGACTGGGACTGGCAGCCACCTGTAGGTAGCCTCAAGCTTTTCCTTCCTGGCGAAGCACCCAAGGTTCAGGCCTTGTCAGAGCCTTGTCAATCATCCTGCCCTACCCTGGTCCCCACCACCCGGGGCCGCCTCACCCTTACCCAACTCCAATCACTGCTTCCTGGGTCCCACTGCAGTCTTGGCCTAGGGTCTCCAAGTCCTCACACCAGCCCATGGCCTGTTGGGAACCGTGCCACACAGCAGGTGAGTGGAGGGCGAGGGAGTGAGGCTTCATCAGCATTTACGGCCACGCCTCATTGCTGGCATCACCACCTGAGCACCACCTCCCATCAGATCTGCCAGGCCAGGGATTTAGGTTCTGAGGGATCCAGGTTTCGAGGGATCTAGGTTACGCCTCAGTTTTCCCCTCTCGCCAGGCCGAGGGGCTCCATTCCTCAAATACACCAGATCTGCGTGCACTGCCACATCGTTCCACCTGCCTGGAGACACCCGCTCCATTGGGCTGACTTCTCAACCAGCCAGTGACAGTTTAAATGTGACTTCTTCCAGGAAGCCCTGCAGGGTCAGCTTCTTGTGCAGCTGCTCGGGGCCCCGTGCCTGGTTTAATTCTCTGCTGTCACTGCCTTGACATTCTTATTTGAGATAAAAAAAATGCGAGCATTTTCATTTTACAATATACCCTGAGAATTTAGGTTGCCTGCCAGTACTAAAGCCTTCCCAGGCGGCCCTTTACCCACACAAGTTGGGGTCCCTATGTAGCTCTCGGTACCACTTATTGCTTGTTTCACTATTTCCCCGCTGGGCCCAAGAACAGCCCCATCTTGCTCAGTCCTGGGCCACAGCAGCTTGCACACTGCTGGACAAGAGGACACACATGTGGCTGAAAGAACCAGCGAAGACGCCAGCCACCCTCGTAGCTCTTGGATCTCACCTTGACCTCATTTTCGTCACAGGAGCAGTCATCTTAGTCCCTCCTTAATGCTTCTGGGATCCTGAAAGATGCCAGCCACCCTCTCAACCACTGCCTCCCCCTCCCTGCTTCATCACGCTCCGTGCTCATCTTCCCGCCTCCAGCCCGGCCCCTCATGGCTTCCTTGTAGCAATGCGTCTTGTCAAAATAATCAGTTCTAAGTGTCCAACCTTCTGCTGCACTCAGCTAGGAACCCCAGTGCAGGAGCCACATGACGACCACGTCCTCTACACTGCCCTGGAGCACAGACAGGCCCACCCTGAGCCTCACGGTGCTCAGAAATACCCCACCCTCACCCTGTTGTCCCACAACACCTGTGGCCTCTCACACTCAGCAAGTGACCTTGCCTCTTCCTTCAGAGAAATTCAGGACATCCACATGGACATGACCTGGCCTTCATACCTGCACTCTCTTTTCTACCTGCCTCACCCCTCAAGGTGAAGAGGCAGCACAAGGTCCCCCATGCATGGTGCTCTAGCGTCTCCATCCCACGGAGCCCCAGGAAAGCTCAGTAGTCCAAGAGGCCTGGGTGGGCCTGGGTTTGAATCCCAGTGCTACCACATCTGAGCCATGATCATTTACTTATCAAGAAAATTAACAGGGTAGCCTCCCTGCTCCTGAGACAGTGTCTAGAGACAGACACAGTGGTAAGGACCATAAACTAGAAGCACTGACAGCATCATTTGAAGAACTGACATCTGAAAACTGGGATCCCGATCAGTTATCACCCAAAAGCCAATCCCACCAGCCACAAGGGTGCTCAGCACACATTCCAGTTGGCTTTCAAGTAAATTCTTATTTATTTATTTTGGAGAAAGGGTCTTAGTAAACTGAGTGAATTCATAATTGTGACCAGATAACCAGCCGGGAATCATTAAGTATCAGAAGAAAGCCCCTATAAGAAGAGGATTCCCACCATTACATAGAACTCAGGAAGCCAGAGAAAGCCAAGATAATGTGAGGGAAAAAAAATAAAGCATTTTTAAAAGAATAATATTCTGTGATGTTAATGACAAGTAAGTATTTGTTAGAATGTTTACTGTGACAGGCTCTGTGTGAAAGACTTTTATATTCCAAATAACAGCTATAAAGAAACCAGGGCATCCATAAATCAAGAATAAGGTGATATAGTGGGAAAAAATTATCCAAAGAGCAACAAAGAGCTTTAGGGAGTTAATCAAATAATTATAGATGTAAAGAAAAGCCAAAAAGGACTTAATGATAAGATTGATGGCATTTCCCCAAAACAGAAAAAATAGATAAAGGGGAGGGAGAAACAAGAGCCTGAACCAGAAAGTCCAACATCTGATTTTAAAAAGAGAAAGAAAAGATGAGGCATGGGCAATCGTAGAACCGAAAGAATCTCCAAGAAAAATACGGAAGAAAAAAGACCTTCATTTCAGCACATCACTGTGAACTCCAGTAGGAATAAAAGAGAACATCCTAAACATTTCTAGAGAAAGGAAAAGATCACAGTAAGAAGAACTGGGCCTCACAGTGCAGAGGATGGAAGAAATCAGGCGAACCACGCTTTCAAACTTCTGATAGAAAATAATATATGTTTCTGCAAGTGTGTTCATGTTCCATGTCTGGGAAGTTTCTAGCAGACATGCTCTGGTGAAATGAGGAGGAGACAGGAGAGAAAGGAAACAGAAGAGAGGCAGAGAGGCCCAGAGGCAGCTGGATAAATATCTGTCCTCCAGAGGAGGGGTTTCTACCCAGGAAAAGCAGGGGCAGAAAGCTTACTTGGTGCGTTTGATGATAGGATCACCTGGTGGAAAAGATTAAGGATAAACACAGAGCAAATCAGGCAAAAGAAAAAAGACAAGAGCATTAACTCCAGAAAGGAAACATCATCTAATATACAACTTGTCTGCAATAAGAAATAATTATACAGTTTAATAATGTAGACATTCATTAATGATTTAATCAAATACTGTGATATAATAATAGTGGAAGGGAGGTGGAGTGGGGATATAGGAAAGCTAAATTGTCTGCTAAAAGATGATATTTAAAGCTGGTAGTAAAAAAGGGTGAATTTGGGGCTGGGGATTTAGCTCAATGGTTCCAGCACCTGTGTCACAACCACAAGGGCCTTAGTTCAATCCTCCCTACCAAAAAAGGGGGGGGTTAATTTTAGAGTATGTGGATTACACTTCAGTTTTAAAAACTGATAAAAAGTTAAATAAAGAAAAATTAGTATATTATCCAGAAATATAATAGTAAAAATGGGAGGAAGTGGCTACAGGAGTCCCCATTATTCCTCCAATGCTCAGCGAAGTAGACAGCTCAAGCTTCGGTGCTTTGAGGGAAACTAAACCAAGGTCTGTGGTATAGGTGACAGGAAGAAGCATCAGGTAGATTCGGCAGGAACAAGAAATCAGTGTGGAAGTCACAGTGACCTTGGAAAGGGCCTGGCTACTCACAGGCTGTGGGATGGGGAGTCTGAGCCATTTTATGGGACTGCTCAGGGGTCACAGTGACTCCCAAAGCTGAAGGCATTGAGTTACAGGCTTCCTGTGATTCTCCATGACCCACCAGGCCCCATCTGTCCCTGTGTGAGCCACACATCTGTGCACACACACCTGCCCCGCCCCCACAGGCTCACGCTCACCTGGGCTTGAGGTAGCTGAGGGCTTCTGAGAACTGGTTGGTGAGGAAGAGGTCTAGGGCGATCATGCACTGGTCCAGGGCCTCATGAAGGCTGGTCACAGGAGTCCTGAGGAAGAAACACAGGCCTGACCTTGGAGCCTTTGGTCCCTCCTGGCAGCACAGAGCCTCACAGGCCCGCTCCATCTCCTTGGTTGGCCTTGGATGGCTTTCAAGAGCTCCCCTAGGCTGTTCATGCTGTCCTGGGATGCAGGGACAACTTGGAGCCACCTCGAGGTATCCCCAAGAGCAGGAGGAGGGGCAGATAAAGGTATCACTTGAGATCTGATGGAAGGGGGAAGGGGTTATGGATGGGGGCAGGGAGCCTCTTACCCTTCACAAGGGTAAAAGGAGTCCTTGTGGCCCTTCTGACCCATTGGGCTTGGCTCCCCCCCCAGGGGGCACAGCCCACCCACAGGTCCACTCCCTCTCTCTCTCCTCCTTCTGGGGACTCCTCCACCCCAGGCCTGCACTCTAGAACCCCAGACACTGTCACAGTGGGTAGTCAGGGACGGCCCAGGGCCTTCCACGCTCCAGTCACCTTCTGGAGGACACCATCGCCCCTTTCTGGCCTTTAAGTTTTTCTACAGATCCTGTCATCCTCTGACTTTTTTTTTTTTTTTCTTATTTGGGGGTTTATTATCTGTCTCCTTCCCCTAATAAATAAGCTTCCAAAAGGCAGGAATCTGTTCAGATCACTACTGTACACCCAGCACCTAGTATCTGGTACAGAGTAGACTTTTAATAAATATATGAGGTGAATGAATAGAACTTAAGGCTGGAAAAACAAATCCCTGGATCTGTTGGGCCTCAGTTTCCCATCTGAAAAGTGAGAGATGAAATGAAGATCTCAGAGCTGTCCATCGATGGTCCTGAGAATGGCTTTCCTCACAGGTATCTTTGAAGAGAAGGTCTATTCCAGAGGGGAACTTAAAGATCTCACTGAAGGAAATTCTGTTTCCCAAAAGTTAAGAGGAGGGCCAGGGATTTAGATCAGCAGGGACGCCACCTACCTCACAAGCTCAAAGTCCTAAGTTCGATCCCCAGTACCAGGAGTGGGGGGGGTGGGGGGATTCCCTTCTCCACCAAGGAAACTACACAGACCTAGAGACCCAATTCTAATGTCTCCTCCTCCATGACACATCTAAATTGAAACCTGTGTCTGAACTCTTATTCTCCCAAACCTGCTGTCTCTAGGTGTCACCATTTTAATAAGTGACACCTCTTTCCCTAGCTCCTGCGCCCGAAATCTGATGGTCATCTTGGACAAAAGCCTCTTCCTGGCCTCCCTCATATCCCGTCTCCTCACTAAACCATATTAATTCTACTTCCTGTGTTGCCTCCTCAGAGTTCCCCACCTTTATGCCCCAGGGCTCACCAGGAGGGAGAGTCCAGAACCACTGAGCTAAATACCCGGCCCACTGTTTATCATTTCTTTGACTCTCTGTTAGGTTCCAGTACTTTCTTTAGTGCCTTCATTTCACTAGTGTCTGATCTGTTACTTCCTCTCTCTACCTAGTTCTTCAAGTTGACAGTATATTTTTCATTTCCACAAATTCCACCTCATTCTTGTTCAAATCTGTTTGGTTATTTTAGGCAGCATTTTTTCCATTTATTGTATCAAATTCTTCAGCTTCATATATATCTTTTTTTAAAATTTGATTTCCTGGGAAGTTATATTTGTTATATTTTCTTTATACATCTTAAATTCATAACTTTAGCTCATATTTGTGGCATTTTACATTCTTACAGAAACTAACTCTGCTATTTGTTGTTTCTGGTGTCTGTCACTACAGTGGCTTATTTCCTGTGTTTTTGTGATTTTTATCATGAACTCATGTTGGATCTATCCCAAAGGGACCTTGGGATAAGAATCCATCCCTCTAGAAAGAACATTTATTTCCTTTGGCCAGGCCCCCAGGGCCACTCATTTCACCCTAAGACCACATAAGCCACTTTTTTAGTTTATGTATTCTAGGAATACAAAGGCAATGTGTATCCAATCCCAGCTCTTATGTGAAGGTAGACTAATATTTATAATTTTTAAGGGGCCTTTTTTTTCCCCACCAGAACCCTCATCTCCTTATCTTTTTTCCCGATTAATCCTATTCACTGAGGCTAGAACCCTTCAAGGGTCCCACATTTATGTGGAAGCTAAGTGCTAACACCTCACACTGTACCAGTGCAGGCTCAAGACCTTGTCTCCCTTCCCTTGGCCTGAGAGGCCCTGGGGCACAGAGATCTAGGTTTCTGAATCTGCAAGTTCCTAAGGATTCCTTTGCAGCCTCATTTCTGGTCCCGCCTTGCTCTTGACTTCAGAGGCTCTGTCAGTTCTAGAGCTCAGGGACATACCTCAAAGGATGCTTGCTGAAACCCTTCCAGACTCCAGGCAGAATAGTGAAAGTTTTATTCTCTTTAACTCGTGCCTCTCTTAAGAGCTAAAAATAGCATTTTAAACCCCAGATCTGACTATATCATACTGAACTTCAAATTCTTCGCTGGCTTCCCAGTCCTCAAGGGACAAAGACCCAGCTCTTTTTCATGCTCTAAAAGGCCCACCGGAAGCTGCCTGGGCTCTCTCCTCAAGAGACCAGGCTGTCTGTCTCCTTCTGTGGCCAGGACCCAGCCTAGCGACTGGTATTCAACCTGTTCACTTCAGTTGCAGAAATCAATGAGGAGGCACTGAGCACCGATTGACTTGGGTCTCCAGTGCATTCTGACTCCCATTTCTGTGCTCGCTCTCTCTCTCTCTCTCTCTCTCTCTCTCTCTCTCTCTCACACACACACACACACACGCACACACACGCACACACGCACACCACCACCACCACCACCACCAAGAAGTTCTGCTGGCTTGGTCTACCTGAAGAAAAAGATGCAGAGAAGTGCATTTGCTCCCCTGGCAGGCCCAACAGCTTTGGCTTCATTGGAGCAAGAGGTCCCCTCCCCAGACTAGGGCTCAGTCCCTTCCTCCCCATTTTCCCTCTGAGATCAGGCTCTGAGCCAAGCTTGGAGCTATGCACTAGAGATACAAGACAGACCCAGACAGGCCATATAACATTAGCGAAGGAGAAGTAAAAAATACACACACCATAATGTAAAAAAGTGTGCAGGTGGGAGGTAACAAGTAGAAACAAAAACTGTACAGGAATAACAGAGACTTTAAACATATCTTATTTTCCCCCACCCCCAAAAAAGGCCCAGACTTGGGCTTGCCCGGGAGGAGCTACAGATGACACAAGTAGAGGCAGCGACAGCAGCTGTGATCCTGGAAAGCACCTGGGCCCCCACCCCAGCCTGGGGCAACAAAGAAGCTGAGGAAGATGGCACTGACTTACGGACAAGATGGGAAAAGACATTCAAGAAGGGGAAACAGGGTGCACAAAGGGCAGTCTGGAAGGGCTTGAAGACAAAGGCCGCTAAATGCAGAGGTAAGGTGGGGGCTGGCTGGGGACTCAGGGAGGCTAAGGACATTAGCCTCACTTGACTTAATAATAGAATTAACAACTACCTCCTCCGTACCAAGAGGATATCACTCAAGTTTTATCTAAATTGGGTGACTGCATAATCTTCCTCAGTTCTTCTACCAGAGGGAGCTCTTATCTTTATTTGACAGATAAGGGAGCAAAGGCAGTGAAATGGAAGGGGTCCAGCTTCTCCCAGAAACTGGGGGAAGACACATGCTTTCTGCATGGCCACAGTGCCAAACCTTTCTCCTGCCCAGGCTGCCGGGCCTTCCCAGGCCACCCCTCTGTGTGTTCTTCTGTCACGGTGGCCTCTTCACTATGCCTAATGGACACAGGGTAGGGTGAGGACACTAGGTCAGGGGAGGCACTGGGCTGGATGGAGAACAGAGCAGAGCTGGTGGGACTCATCTACTCAGATCCCACCCAAGGGAGTGGAGGGCCAGGCAGCCTGGAGCCGCCCCACTCTCCCCTTGGCTCTCACCGCAGTGTCTCTTAGTGGAGCAGGGAGCGAGGCAGCTGGGAGACCCAGTCCCAGTTCACTACCCCAACCTCAGTCAGCATGCGGTGGTCCTGGAGCAGTCACCTGGGGAGCAGGCTGGAGCCAGAGCTGGCTATTAAATCTTACTTCACTATGGGAGGGTGGGGGCCCAAAGTGAAGTGACGTGTCCACGGGAACCTGTTGCTTCTAAAGTGACCTTTCTAAACAGCAAATATGACTGAGACTCTGCTTCCGAAGAGTCCTCCTTAGCTGCACATAAAGTGAGTACCCTATGGCTGGACCTAATGTAGTGTGGCCTTCAAGAGTTCTTAAGACCTCAGACTCAAGCTATAGCTCAGGAATTACTTGCTGGAAAACCTGAGAAAGTTCTTTAACCCCCATAAGCCTCAGTTTCTTCATCAACAAAACAGAAGTGATAGTCCCACCTTCCCAGAGTACCTGTGACGGATCCCTGAGACCAGGTAAAGAACAACAGGAAGTACTCAGAAAATGTTAATGAGTGCGGTTTCTCTCTGACACTCTGCATTGCCATCCTTTCTTCCACTGAGCAGCTCTGATCTTGCAGTGTAACTAAATAGCTTTAAAAGACTGAGTGCAGGCCGGGGATTTGGCTCAGTGGTTCCACCACCTGCCTTGCAAGCGCAAGGACCCGAGTTCAATCCCCGGTACCAAAATCAGTCAATCAGTCAATCAATCAAAAGACTGAGTGCATAGCCCACAATTCCACCACAATTCCACTACAGGAATACTAGTGTTTGAATAGGAAGACATAGGAACCACCTCAATGTCCAACAAGAAGAGTAAATAAATAAGCAGGAGACTTTACACAGGGTGGTGTGGTATGTGTCAGGGAAGGGGTCCAGTGCCACGAGGTCAAGAAGGCTAAATCTCAAAAACCTGACTTTGTGTAAGAAAAAGCCAGCCACAGAATGACATGCTGTATGGCTCCTTTTGCTCATAAAGTAAGAACAAGCTATTCAGTTTTCACATTTTCACATACTCAGCACAAGAACAAAAAACAGGGAACTGTTAAACCAAAATTCAGGATGGCAATTATCTCTGGAGAGGGAAGGAGTTTTCCACAGGCCTCTATCACAGTATATTTCTTAAAAAGGAGAATATGAAATGAATGGGCACAGCGTTTAGTATCTGACAGAGGTGGTGGTGAAGTGTGTGGTCTGAAGGCTTAAGAATATTTCATAATTTTTAAAGTGGTGGAGGTCTGAGACTGGTTTGTTCACCCCTCACCCAGCGCTGGGCCCACAGCAAGTCTGGCTGAGAATTTAAGCGAAAGTAAGTGTCTGTGATGAAGGTGTGGATGGTCCGGCTTCAGCCTCCCGCTGATCAGACCCACAGGACGGCAGTGACCAAGGGTAGGAGGAGAAGGACTTCTGCGGCCTCGCAGGCGTGCAAGGAAGCAGGCATGCTTCAGCCTGAGGATGGCCTCAGGCCCTAAAGAGGGCAGAGGAGCCTGGGGTAGTAGAGAGGCCTCAGGCACAGGTGTGCATAAGGAACATGGATGAACGTTCACTCAGCTCTGGAGTCTAGGATTCTTTTGGGGGAATCTTGCTCTGTTTGCCTTCTCTCCTGGAAACTCCTTTTCTAGATTCACCAGGTGGTGCTCAGAGTTAGGCAGAAAAGGTCCTAACCAAACTCTAGATTTACAAGGGCTTTAGCCCACAGCAGGAAGGAAGCAGCCAGACCAATCCGCCTGTATTTTCCAAAGGAGGGACCAGAAGCCTAGGGAGACTAAAGGACTTAGCCCAAGTCATACAAAACAGATCAAAGCAAAACTTACCAGGCAACCCTCTCCCAGGCCAGGGTACCCCAGCCACCCCACTCCCAACCCTTGAGCCCCAGCCACACACAGACCCTGTGGCAGCTACCAGATGTCAGGTGGCACCAGGCTCCTCACCTCCCTGCTCATCTGTCCAGCCTCAGGCCCTTGGCAAATATTGTCATGGATGGTGAGGCGGGAGGCAGGGCAGGAGCTCCTCCCAGCTCACCTGGGCCGGATCTATGCTCAGCAGCCTCCCAGCAACTGCCCCTAACAAATGGGTCCCAGGAGAGCAGAGTTGCTGCTGGTGTGCAGGTGGTCAGCAGCCGTCACTGCCTCAGGGGCGGTGAGGGTCGCACAGGATCCCTCAGTGGGTTGGATGTCAGGCCGAACAGGAGAGCCATGCTAATAGGGACAATGTCAACCTTTTATAACCCCAGTTCCTGCTGCACCCAATGCGCCCTGCTGCCTCTTTAGGTCCCCCAAGGACCCCAGAAGATGATGTAGGTGGGGCCGCTGACAGGAGACAGAACTGGGTTCAAATCCTAGCCCCAGTTCTTACCACTGGGATGACAGAAGACAAGTCACTTAAGAGCTATGCCTCAGTTTCCTCATCTGTAAGAGAGGTGATTCAAAGAACAGAGCCTCCCCACAGGTACGCTACAAGGCAGACATGGAAGACTGCTCTGATCAAGGCTGTGACTACAGCTTGCAGACAAAGTTGGGTCCCGGAGGGGAGTGGCGACCCAGGGTCGCCTTGGCGTTTCCGAGGCCCAGCAGGCCTCCGGCATCCCGAGTCCGGAGCCGAGCCGCAGTGCG